TATTGTCGGTTTAGAGTCGACGATACCCTCCTTCATCACTAATGTCATCGTGTTAGATGGAGTTGATTGTTATTATGTTACTAGTAATAAGCTCGATGCCGCCGTCGTAGAGTGTAGTGCCCTGCACTGCACTACGTGCAGACACACAGTATTACAGCCTGTTCCAGCTAGAGCACTGGCACGCACTGATCTCTGGCACCACGCACAGGCCAGAGCCAGACCAAGATAACGCCACACACGCTTATATGTATCGACAATCATGGTCACAAGCAAATGCATTACGACAAGCGTGATGACACTCACTGTGTCCAACCAAATGAAGCCGTGTAACGTAGAGGAAGCTTGTGTTGCAGGATGCAAATTGGAAAGTGATATTAGTAAATTAAAAGTCTGCACTCTTTTGTCTCTAGACTATCTACTAACTACTCATTGCTAAATATAAATTAGTTTACAAACGTCCCGTAAACTAACCTGTAACTCGTCCCGAAAACCGTACCATAATCCTAAAGATTTAAATAAAACAATCAACGCGGATGCGTTACAAGCCGCCGCTGAAAGCAGCGCCTCCAAGACGAAGTAGACCTAGTCTAGATATGTTCATTCTGCTATTTAACTAGCAATAAGCAAACGGAAACTACTAGGGAGCACTGCCGGCTCCCTCATCACGTGTTAGTATCTGATACACCCATAGAGTCAGTGTGGTAAGATTCTCAACACACTTGACTCTACGACGATGGATATTAATTTTGGACATCTTACCGTACGATGTCCAAAATTAATATCCATCGTTGTCCACTGGCGGTACATATGTAGAGTGGAGCCTACAACTTCAGGACTTTACAATTATTTTAAGATGCATTAAGTAACCTAGCAATAATGCCTGAGCTCTAATGCATATTCCCAGTTGCGATTTTAGTACTTTATATATTATAATAGAAAAGCTCTTTTGCTCGTTTAAAGTGTATTTCTTTTAAAAAAAATCATTTAGCATTAATTTATTTTGAAACTACATTTGGTTTGTAGAGTTGGATGGCGGAGAAAACTTTTTCTCCGCCAGTTTTCTAAACTGCTTGTTACTAGTTATGTTGTGAGACGATGCAGTTCCAGGTCCGTTATACTTTGCCGATTTGCGATGTGTGGAGTGAGCGTCTACCGTATTTACAATAACATAATTTCAGAGCTGCACGAATTCGATCTCACTTCAGTTTTGTTTTTTCAACGATCGGTTGGGGGGTGTTTAAGTTGACAAATGGCAGAACCACCAGTGGATGAATGTAATCTGACGATGACAGATCCCCCGGATGCTCAGAACACCATCGATAACTCAAATGAAGCAGTTATCGTACCCCCAAGCGACGCAGACAAGCTGAAGGCATCGACAAGTCGTTGGTGTGCTATTATTGATTTAAACAAAGGAGACAAAGGAGATGGGAACGGCTCGCCGAGTGCCGAGGACAAAGCTACTCAAGAAATCGCCAGTAAACTCGAGATGGCGATTGGAGACGCGATTACTGCTCTTGAGTTCGACTACTACGTCCTTGGAGTCGCGCTGTTCCGCTTCTTTACGACGGTCGGGTTCTGCGTCATTTTCGCAGTTCTAGTGAACTCTGGAACGCCCAATGAGGAGATGTACACCCAATCCAACGCTGTGTCGGCCAAACTAGCCCCAGCGACTTCTAGC